GTGCATATTTTGGTGCTAAGATCCAGAATGAATTGGTCAACAGGAAATGAGAGATGGGAGGCCAACACAGGTACCCTAACACATAGTATCTACCCCAGATGAGATTTAAATTAATGAAGTGGGGAAGAGGAGAAGAATAAACTGCCAAACCTCCACAGCACAGGATTCCATAGCAAGAGGAACCTTCACTGCAGGCATCACTCAACAAAAAAGGAACAAATAGGACATGCATTGCCCAACAAGTTCTCAGATACTCTGAGATTAACTTTGTTTATATAGGAGGTGAAAAGAAAAAAAAAAAACCACACAATAAAACAAAGGCTCTTCTAGTTTCATACCAACCAAAGGGGAAGAACTGGCTAAGAACATGAAAGTGAAAACAACTTGGCTGAAAGAAGGCCTAAGAAGCCAACTCTTGCAATTCTTCAGAAGGGAAGAAACAGAGCACCACAAAATAAAGCAAATGAACTAACAGTGAAACCACACAAGCTACCTGAAACCCAGAAGAAAGAACTGAAGCCTACTGACAAATCATCTCAGCTAAGTATAGGCTCTTTAATAATTTGACTTTCAATAGATTTTCCACAAGTGCAAATCAAATCACTGAAGGTCACTTGAAGTGAACAGCACAGTTCATGAAATAGGAGAGGTCAAAGCATTTGAGGGTGGTGAGCACTGGCCCAGGTTGCCCAGGGAAGCTGTGGATGCCCCCTCCCTGGCAGTGCCCAAGGCCAGGTTGGACGGGGCTTTGAGCAGCCTGGGCTGGTGGAGGTGTCCCTGCCCATGGCAGGGGTTGGACTGGATGAGCTTCAAGGTCCCTTCCAGCCCAAACCATCCTGTGATTCAGAAAGAAATTTCTGGGAGGCAACACAGAAGGTAACATGAAAGTATTTCTTCAGGATGCCTGCAGTGAAAGGAGGAGTGTATTAAACCACTATTTGAAATGAAGGAAAATCTCTAACAGATAGGAGCATTTGGGGGTGCTTTGTGCATTGATCTTCACTCACCAAGACAGATTAACCGGCTAATGTAACTTGTGTTACAGCAAAAGGAGCAAGAACACAAGCTAGAAGCAGGAAATGTGTTGGAGCAATTGCTCCAAACCTCCTGAGCCAACAAAGTCAAGACTCTGAATTTCCCATGTGTATTTATCGCCAAACTTCAAAGAGAAAACATGATAAAAGCAATATGCTTCTACAGACAACTTAATAAGCTTTCATAAACTTATGGACTTGTAGCCTACAGACCCATGGACTATATCCAGGGGTTATGGCATTAAAAGAGTACTTTAAGGTTTTCTGATCTGGTAGACATAGTATTTACCCTCTGAAAACTGACAAAGGCAGTTATCAAAGATCATCTCCACATTAAGTTCAACAGCCTGAAGAAGGGCAAAAGCACCTGCCTCCAAAGAACAAGAAACCAAATACACAGGGAAAGATGGACCAGTCAGGGTTACCATCAGTCCATGGGAAGACAGTGAAATAAATAATCAAACAACCTATCTGCTGCATATTTCAGATAAAGCAAGTAAGATCCAACACACAATTCATTAAGAACAAATCCTATCAAACTAAGTATAATTCCACCAATGACACCATAACAACGTAGGTAGCAAAACAGCAACTAAACATAATATAGTTTTGGATTAACTGGACTTTTGATGCTCTTTAATTGACAGTCATATAACCTAAACAGATATGGTACATACTCAAGTACCGAGAGACAATTAGAAATCCATAGCCAGAGATAAGTTATCATCATTTCAGTCTGACAGAAAACAGGTAGCAAGCTCACTCACATGGCTCTAACCTTTCAACATTCTCCACTCCTACAAAAGTAACTTGCAGGGGAAAGGCTATTTAGCATGAACTTACTCCAGGCAGCTTATTTTGCTCTGCCTGTTTGATTTCCAGTGGTCACAAGAAATAACTTCAGAGATCCCCAGACAACATCTTGTTCACAAATCACACGCTAGAAAACATCAGGGCATTAAGGTCATTTTCTTAAGGTAACAGAGAATAATCTGGAACAGTTACAAGCACTTGGAAAGAGGGACTCAGAACCCAAAGTCATTTGAACAAAGTGTAAAAGTCATCTGAAGTAAATATGCAGTGACAGAGCCAAAAGGTAAGAATGATCAGCTGCATAACACAGCATGGAAGGCAAGGTTGAACACTGTTCTGCCCTGAGATATGTTGAGCGGTGAAGTGCTCAAGAATGTGGTGTTTATGCTGAACATAAATCACACAAATCACCACAAAAAAGCCCCACAACACAAAAAACACACACAAACAGATTCATTAACCTAATGAGATGTATGAAATGCAGGTATCATATGAAAAGCACATGAAGTAATTTTGACTCTGTTGTACTAAGAACACAGAGGGAACACCATGTCCAGTTCCAGTGCTCCAGAAAAATGCAAAACAAATGGAAAAAGCCTCAAGAAAAGCAGTGAGGATGGCCCACAGATGTATGAAAAGTGTAAAAAAAAAAATCACTGAAGAAAGGAGAGTTAAGGAATGAGATTTCTTAACTATGGAAAACACAAACAAGAAAGCTTCTCCAACATGTAACACATCCCTGCAGGAGACTGGTAATAAAGAGTTCACAGAGCATATAAAACGCACATAAATGCTTCAATTATAGCAAGTAAGTTTAGACTAGAAATTAGAAGTATTTTTAATGGTGAGAACAGCAAACTGTCAGAACAGATTGCCTAAGAAGAGTAAATCTCCATCAGAAACTTACATTAGCTCATTTGCTTTGAGAACTAGTTAAACATACCTTCCTTGTGCCTGAAACACGGTGAATTTATGAAAGAACAAATGCCAATTACCTCCCCCTTTGCCCCTCATACTTCATTCACAGGTGCCTCATCTGAGCTTCCAGCTTCTAGAGCAGTCATTACGAGAATTTACTACCCGTTACTACAAAACAACTTCCAGCATGAAGGCTTTGTAACATCACATGGAAATAATACTAAAAACACAACCTTACAGGAGTTATTGGAAGGATATTACAGAAGAAAAGTGATGCACTTGAACCACATCAGGATGGAGAGTCTTTAATTTCAACAAAAACAAATCCAGTGATCCTATTTACACAGTGATTACAATTTTACCCTCACAGACATATCCTTTAAAACAGTGGTGTCCAGCTGCAGAGACACCCTTCACTGGGACGGTAAAGGAAGAACTAACACACCTTGCTGGGTCCAGGTAAGGTCAGTCTGGGTGGGTCTGCACAGCCCCTTCCCGGCAAGCACCCTGCAGAGATCCTGGGGTGGCTCAACCCAGGGCTGCAGGGATCCAGACTACTGACCTGGTCTCAGATAAAACAGAAGTGCAGACAGCTAGGGGAAGCAGGGGCAATCCTTGTGCAGCTGGGAAGAAACAAGGAAAGCAAGACAAGGACATCAACCCCAAATAAGGTGTCCGGAGCTGGACCCAGCAAAGCACAAAACATGACTAATTTTCTCAAGCGAAGCTCAGCTACCAAAGAAATTCTTAAAAAGCCACTGAGAACCAAAGCAAGAGAGCAAACTGAAAGATGCTATCCTCTGCTGGAAGTGGCTCTGGAGGAGCCTGAAAGCAGAAGACCAACAAAAACACTAGTGCTTTGATCTTCACTGGAGCAGAAGATAGAAACATCATTTGAAAGCTGCACAGCTTTGCCTAAATGTGGCTGTTACCTTCTGAACTCCAGCTAACGCTGCACTTTTACACAGCCAGCATCACTGTCACCAAAGGGGTACTCCTGCTGCCTGCCTCTCCTACACCACCCCTATCAGGAGGTAATCTGCTGCTCTCCCACTCGCCTTCCCCTGCCAACACAAGATTCTGAGGCCATACAGAACAGCATCAGAAAACCAGATGAAAGCTAATTTTTTTTCCCCAAAAATATAACATAAATACCTTGTTGCAATCCAGTTCCTTCATCCTGTTTGCTTATAACACCGTATCAAGCTAAGCAAAGCTTTCTCAGGTTACATCTTTTGAATGAAATTCACATGTAGTGCAAAAATATAAGCATCTCAATACATACGAAATACATGAAAGATGAAAATACACACACACAAAAAAACCCCCAAGCAAATAGGTCTGCCCCTGCAGTACGAGGCTTGTGTCAGGTGTATCTAGCAAGAATTTAGTGTAGAACCTTTAAAACTTCCACACTAGCTAAGAAGGATCTCCAGATCTGAAAGTGAATGAGTTCAGACGACGCATAGCTTAAATCAGCTAGAGCCAGCAGTGGGAATTATCTAAGTGTTCATCTTTGGGGAAAAAATAAAAGTAAGCCATGACTCTTGTTACAAAAAGATACTGAATGAATAAATACCACCAGCAGCACAGGTACACAAGAGGCTCTTACAACATTTCAGACAGCATCAAACCTTCAGACAAAGCATTCCCCAGTCAGAATTAACACGCAAAAAAATAAAAACAAATCACACTTTTTTTTTCCTTAATTATCCAAGCACAATATCCAAGCACATAAATACAAATGAGAAGTGTTTAAGCTCATAAGAAATGTGTGTTTCTCTGTGTTCCCTGTTTCATACCCCAAACCCTCATGTCCCTTCGGGACAGGGGCCAGTACCGACCACCACACCGACCACGTCAAGCCCCGTGCTCCCATGAGTAATTATATTAATTAACTGCGAAGAAACAGCGGAAAGCAGCGCTTCAGATCCACACCGTGATCCTGAAACGAAACCGCTGGCTGCGGCGCTGCCGCCGGGAGAGGCGACCGGTGGACAGGAGCGGGCCCGGAGCCGTTTCGCAAACGGCCGCACGGGTCTGGTACAGCCCCGCCAGGTTAGGCTGGGTGGCCGGGGTCGGCCCCACTCCCAGACCAATGGCACTACCATTTCCCTCAGGCCCCACCAACCGATCCCCTCGCCAGAGGAGCAGCCCCGGGTCCGAGTGGCTCTGCCCTCACCGCGTCCGTTCCCCAACGGCCCCCTCTGAGGGAGAGAAGGCAGCCCCACTCACAGCGTGTGCCCGCAGACGTTGACCATCAGCTTCAAGGACGGGTTGCGGTACTTGGTGGTCTTACACCGCGGGCAGCCCTGGTCATCCATATCCCTGACGGCGGCC